AAGCTCTCTGAATTCTCCTCATAAAACAATCCCTAAGGAACACTCTTAACTGGAAATTTTAACTTTTCAGTATCACACCACTTGTTTCATTTTAAGTACATATGTACTTTTATCCTGGAAAATTACTGAGAGAAATGCAGTGGTTGCCATTCAAGAAGTTCATGGAAAATAAAAATTTTGAAAAAATGCTGTGTGAATTTCAAAGTTTTAGACAAAAATAAGCATATTTTAATTTCAGTTTTCCATGAACTTTTTTGAAGTACCCTCATGGTTCACTTTACACCTTTCTGATTATTTGCTTATTTTATATCAAATCTATTTAAATATTTAAAATATAAGTAAAATGAAAAACCATGGTCCTTTTCACTTGTTTATTTATTTATTTATTGACAAAGAGAAAGAGGCAGGGAGGGGCTCCTATTCGCTTGTTCTCTCTCGAAATGTCTGCTACTGCCAGGGCTGGGCAGGCTGAAGCTGAGAGCTAAGAGTCTCCCATGTGGTGGCAGGTACTCAAGTACTTGAGCTGTCAACTGTTGCTTCCCAGGGCCTGCATTTGCAGGAAGCTGGATTGGGGAAACAGAAGAATTGAATCCAGCCACTCTTATGTAGGATGTGGGCATTTTAACCAGGATCTCAACCGCTGGTCAAACACCCACCATGATCTCTGCTACAAAGGCATTCATAATTGTGTAAAATGATGAACAGTCTTTACTTAATGTATGCTAAACTGATCTTCTGTATATAAAGAGAAACAAAAATGAATCTTGATGTGAATGGAAGGGGAGAGGGAGTGGGAAAGGGGAGGGTTGCGGGTGGGAGGGACATTATGGGGGGGGAAGCCATTGTAATCCATAAGCTGTACTTTGGAAACTTATATTCATTAAATAAAAGTTTTAAAAAAATAAATAAATAAATAAAAATGATGAACAGACTTTCAGGAAATAAGTTTGAAATCTCAGCTGCATGGGATAGCGTCTGGGCTGATGATCAGTATGGGGCAGTGTAATAAATGAATATGGAAAAATGCTGGAGGACTCTTAGGAAAGTACTAGTTGAGTTAGAAAGTTTAAATAGCTGCCATTTCAAAACATTTAATATAAATATATATATAAATTTCATAGGTACAGCTTTTGGAATATAGCGATTCTTCCCCCCCTACCAGCCCTCCCACCTGCTCTCCCACCTCCTACACACTCTTCCATCCCATTCTTCATTAAGATTCATTTTTAATTATCTTTATATATAGAAGATCAGCTCTATACTAAGCAAAGATTTCAACAGTTTGCACCCACACAGACACACAAAGTATAAAGTACTGTTTGAAGACTAGTTTTATCCCTAATTCTCATAATACAACTCATTAAGGACAGAGGTCCTACATGGAGAGCAAGTGCACAGTGACTCCTGTTGTTGATTTAACAATTGACACTTATTTATGATGTCAGTATTCACCCGAGACTCTTGTTATGAGCCGCCAAGGCTACGGAAGCCTCTTGAGTTCACAGACTCCATCAGTATTTAGACAAGGCCGTAACCAAAATGGAAGTTCTCTCCTCCCTTCAGAGAAAAGTACTTCCTTCTTTGGTGGCCCCTTCTTTCCACTTGGATCTCACTCACAGAAATTCATTTAGGCCATTGTTTGCCACAATGTCTTGGCTTTCCATGCCTGAAATGCTATCAGGGGCTTTTTAGCCAGATTTGAATGCCTTAAGGGCTGATTCTAAAGCCAGAGTTCTCTTTAGTGCATTCATCATTCTATGAGTCTGCTATGTGGCCTGCTTCCCATGTTGGATCATTCTCTCCTTTTTAATTGTATCTATTATCATTAGCAGACACTTGGACTTATTTATGTGATCCCTTTGACACTTATTCATATCTGTATGATCAGTTATACACTTAAAATGATCACTTTAACTAGTAAGATGGTGTTAGTATTTGAAAAATTAATGGCAAGTTTTTAGCTTTACCCTTAGGGGTAAGTTTGTGGGAACATGTGCCAAACAGTATATCTCCTCCCTCTCTTATTCCCACTCTTATTTTTAACAGGGATCAATTTTCAATTGGATTTAAACACCTAAGAATAATTTTGTGTTAAGTAAAGAGTTCAACCAATGGTATTAAGTATAAAAAGAAAATAGTAAAAAAATAAAATTAAATAATAAGCTGTTCCTTGACAGTCATGCCAAGGGAGGATCAAGCCATTGCTTCTCATAGTGTCAGTTTCACTTCTATAGGTTTCCTTTTAGGTGTTCAGTTAGTTGTCACAGATCAGGGAGAACATATGATATTTGTCCCTTTGGGAATGGCTTATTTCACTCAGCATGATGTTTTCCAGATTCCTCCATTTTGTTGCAAATGACTGGATTTCATTGTTTTGTCACTGTGTAGTATTCCATAGAGTACATATCCCCTAATTTCTTTATCCAGTCTTCCATTGATTAGCATTTAGGTTGATTCTATGTCTTAGCTATTGTGAATTGAGCTGCAATAAACATTGAGGTGCAGATAGTTCTTTTATTTGCCAATTTAATTTCCCTTGGGTAAATTCTGAGGAGTGAGATGGCTGGGTGTGGTAGGGCTATATTCAGATTTCTGAGGTATCTCCAAACTGTCTTCCATAGAGGCTTTACCAGTTTGCATTCCCACCAACAGTGGGTTAGTGTCCCTTTTTCCCCACATCCTCGCCAGCATCTGTTGTTAGTTGATTTCTGTATGTAAGCCATTCTAACCAGGGTGAAGTAAAACCTCATTGTGGCTTTGATTTGCATTTCCCTGATTTTCCATCTCACTTTGTTACTCTGCTTTTCTAATAAATAAATCAACAAATCTAAAAACAATAAAAGCCAAACTGACTTCAATTTCAGTCTTCCTTGGGGAAGAATTAACTTCTTTAAATGTCCATCCTCTTTTCCTTCTCTAAATGTGTATTCACCGTTTTAATGTTAATTGATTTTCATTACTTTATTTTCTTAGTTAAAATATGCTCTTAGGAGCTTTAAAATTAACTGTTGTTCCCTTGTAAACTTCTACTTAATAGACCTTAATAGACATTGTCATAATAGGTCGCCTTCAGCATTGCTAATGCTAAGACCCCAGCACATTTCTGGCAAATCAAATCAGGTTTTATTTAGTTCAATTTACGGGATGAATCAGCATTGTATGTTCTCTAAATGAATTACAAATTAATTGGCTGAGTGTGTTCAGGGTTCTGTTCATTATTCCTTCTATCCTGACAGTAATGTAGGTTAGTTTGCACTGGAGAATTTGATGCAATGGAAAATTATGGGAATATTTATGGTAGCTGTTATGAAGAATTATTTGAAGCTACCTAGAACATTCTACCATTTATTCTGCTCTATATTTTGAGAATTTAGCAGCACTAGTGTGTGATCAACGTTGGATGAACAGCTAATTTAATTTTTTATGTAGCAAATAACTTGAGGATTATTCCTCTATATTTAAAAAAAAAAGGATGACATGTTTTGATTCATTTACTGGGAACGTGTAATTTAGTATTAGTACTTATAATGAATGTTACTCATCAGGGTTTTCTTAAGTTGAGGGGAACAGATTTCGCTGATAATGAAATTTATTATCACACCACATAGAAAATACTATATTTCTTATAAAGAGACAGGCTTTAATTATTCAATTTAACTTCACTCTTAGTAATAAACTGAGAATTCACGTATTGCTTCCCCCTCACACACCCAGTGGCTAACATTACTATTCCCAAGGTTGTAGCTTTAAAGCAAACAAATCTGTGAATATTGTTAATGTTACATCAGTTTTAGCTGTGGCAAATTTTTTTTTACTTAAGTCATGTTTTATATGTTGTATTATTTCCCCATTTTCTGAATCTAATTTAGTAAGTGGTTCCATTTTAAATTTCAGTTATTCGAGGTCTATCATCTGTGTGTGACCAGAATATATTATCCTGGACAGAAGGCAGCAACAGAACCTCATAACTCATGTCATGATTTGCAACATTTGTCCTCAGTTCACTCACTCTCACAGACTTACAAGCTTGCTTGCTCGCTCACTCTCTCTCTCTCTGTCTCTTCCTCACTTTCTCCCCCTTTCTCCTTCTCTCATAATAAACACATACAGACACACACAGGGCTTTGCAGGATATATATTTTTAATTAAAGTCTGTTTTTAGATTTTTCCACCACCTCTTGAGATAATTGGAGACATCATAGGGATAAAGCCACTAGAAAAAAAAAAAAAACAGATATTTCTATTTCCAGCTCTGCCATCAGACATTCTGTGGCCTGTTGAATGAGTCCTTTGACCTTTCTTTTCCTGACGCCTTTATCAGCAAAATGGAGGTCATTATTCTTTCATGTTTCTAATTTACTTCCTAGGGATGTTTCCAGGATTCATTGAATTAAAGCAATATATAAAGTCCATCATTTATTGAATGAAAAAGCTTGTGAACAAAAATGGTATGCTTATTATGAAACTTTCTGAAGCCATAAATATGATTTTAGCAGTACATTATCTTCTTACATTTCCTTTACTTACATTTTTCATTAATTGTAACAATCATAGGAGACTAATGCTTATATTTATAATGACAAACATAGATTAATTTATCAAAAGGCAGAGCAGATATAATCCTGTCTGTTTTTTAAACTGTGTGTAGTATGTGAATATGAATATGTATAGTGTGGAAAAACAAAATATATGTTAAAATGATTTCTATATATTTTATTTATATTTATGTGTAGTATTTGTGTAATTAAAACCACTTAGAACAACGTTTAAAGTTGCTATCACTGTACAAAATTCTCATTTCATCCTAGCACACTGTTTTATATAGTGGAAATTAAAATGATGAAAATGCTAATTTTCAGAATTAAGGAACTCAGGATAAGAGTTGTGAAATGAATTTATTTATTCTTATGTGTTGAAAGTAACCTAGAACATCTCACCTGAGTGGATGGTACTCTCTCTATATTCTTGGAATATTCTAATTTTGGAAACATGTTTTTCAGCTACAGGACCGCACTCAGTTCAGTGACCGAGACTTAGCTACCCTTAAGAAGTACTGGGACAATGGCATGACAAGCCTGGGCTCTGTTTGCAGAGAGAAAATTGAAGCTGTTGCAACTGAATTAAATGTTGACTGCGAAATAGTTCGGGTAAGGCATTTCTAATAATTTTCTTGCTGTAGCTGATGAGTGCACCAACGAGAGGTTTTAAAATTGCATTTGTTGCTACAAATGATGTCATCAATAAAATGAAAACATAACTCACAGAATCAGAGATAACTTTTTCAAATCATATACAGAATAAAGAACACTTACAACTCAATAATGAAAAGGTAAATAATGCAATTTAAAAAGAAACAAAGGATCCGAATAGATGTTTCTTTAAAGAAAATATACAAATGGCCAATGGACACATGAAAGTATGTTCAACATCACTGGTCATTATGGAAATGGAAATCAAGTCACTAGTGAGATACCACTTAACATGCACTGTGATGGCTATGATGAAAAATACAGATAATAAGCTTTGGTCAGAATATGGAGAAATTGGAATCTTTATACATTACTGGTGAGAATGTAGAATCTTTTGACTGCTTTGCAAAACTGCCCTAAAAAAGTTCAATATAGAGTTCTCATATGACCTAATAACTCTACTCCTAGATTTACAATTATAATTGAAATAATGAAAAACATATGACCACTCACAAATACCCATAACATAGTATTCATACATTATTCATACTAGACACAAAGTATAAATAGCTCAAATGTCCACCAAGTGAATGAATAAGCAAAGTGTGGTATGAAGAGTCTTTAAAAAGTTCGTGGAAAATATACATTATCTTTTAACTACAGTTTTCATGAATTTTTGAGGCACCTTCATATATGCATATATTGGAATATTATAAACCCATATAAAGTAATGAAATATTGATGCATGCTACAAAATAGATGAACCTTGAAAGTAAAAGAAGCCACTCACAAAAGACCTCGTATTATATGTCTGTATTTGTATGAAATATCCAGACATATATAAACAAAGATTAGATTAGCAGTTTCTAGGAGCTGGGGTAGGGAAGAAGAGAAATGACTACCAGTAGGTGTGAGATTTGCTTTTGGCACAAAGAAAATGTTCTGGAATTAGATAGTGGTGATTGTTGCACAGCTCTATGAATATATAAAAAAATTTAATTATTCAAATTAACTGAGAATTGTATGGTATATTGGATATGTTTTAGTAGTGCTATTTAAAATTGTGTAAGATGGGGCAGGTGTTTGGCCTAGTGCTTAAGACACTGGTTAAGACTCCCATGCCCTGTATTTAAATGCCTGTGTTTTATACCTGGCTCCAGCTCGTGATTCCAGCTTGTTGTGCGAGGCAACTTGTCCTGTGAGACAGCAATGATGATTCAAGTAATCGGGTTCCAGGCACACTTTTGGGAGACTTGGACTGAGTCATTGATTTCCTTGTTCCTAATCTCAGACCCTGGCCTGGACTATTATTGGCATTTGGGCAGTGATTCAGTGGATGGGGTCTCTCTCTCTCTCTCTCTCTCTTTCTCTCTCTCTCTCCCCTCATAAATAGTTTAAAAAATAAAAACCACACAAAGTAATATGAAATAAATTTCACTGTTAGATAATGAATGATAGACTTAAAAATTATATTTACAAGTCATAGGAACAGTAGTTTATGCTCCATTTGCGGGTGGGAGGGACGTTATGGGGGGGGGAAGCCATTGTAATCCATAAGCTGTACTTTGGAAATTTATATTCATTAAATAAAAGTTAAAAAAATGAAAAAATAAATAAAAATTATATGTGTAGATAGTTTAAGAAGTTAAATTCTGTAGAACTTACTACACAGTCAACGTTCCTCACTCCTCCCCTCCTACCATTTTCCAGTAGCCAAGTGAATTACTTTCCACTCTTTTAAATTATTCCTTTGGTATTTACGTCCATCCATGAGTATGTACTATACGGATTAGGATTAGGTTTAGCTGTGAGTAATTGAAGGACTCAAGTTGTTACATTTACAAGATTTCCTTTTTTTTTTTTAAGTCTAGGGGCATGCAATTAGTAGCTGTCATGGCATATCTGACCTATGAAGTCCTCAGAGACTCTGGTGTCTTCCAGCTTCCATTCTGCACACCTCTAATATAGCTCTGTACTCAAAATCCAAAATAATGTCACAGATGATCCAGGCAGCATGACAGAGGGGGAAGAAGGGGAAAAGGGTGTGTACCAGCTATTTTTTTAAAGAGAATTTCCAGAAACTACCATAAGATACTTTCACTTACATCCCATTGGCTAAAGATTAGCCACAAGATCATATCAAACTGCAAGGAAAGCTGCAAATGTCGTTTTACTGTGAGCAGCCATGTGTCCAGCTAAACCTTGTGTTACTCCAGAAGAAGGTAAGGACAAATACAGGGAATAACCAGCAGTCTCCTACATACTTGTTTATATTGCTACTTTTTGATTTTTCAATGTTAGGCATTCTCTGTTGATTTTTCACTATGAAATACAATACTTTTTTTAAAATTTATTAATATAAAGACAACAGATCTCATGCGTTCCATAGGTACATCCTCTCTCCTTATGCTCATTCAGTTTTGGCTATTTCGATATTCAATGTTAATATTATTACCACTATATAAGTACTTTGCACGTTTGAATTATGTAGTCCAAATCATCTTTTCACTTTCTGCATAGCATTATTTTGTTCCCCTGGAGCTCATAATTTATTTACTTTTATTTTTGGTATTTGTATGTGTGCTTATTTAATTTTCTAAGTACTTCCTGTTAATTTGTCCTCAAACTCTTTCCCAGTTGAATGTAGCTTGCCTCAATACATTCAGACATTTGGTAATGTAAAAACTCCCATCACCTTACAGAAATCTTTCCTGAAATCTTCTGATCTGCTCCAATCTATATTGCTTATTTTCTGTACTTGGAATACAACTATTATTCTGAGATTTCCATTTTTCGATATGTCCTTTTGCTCAGCTTTCAGTCAGATATCTTCAAATGTATCCACAAATTTACTGATCAGTTGTTCTTTTGTTTTTTCTTATTCAATCTGCAACTGGTACTAATAAGTACCTTGCTTCATGACATTGGCCTTCAGACTCCATACATATTTAGAAATCCTTGAGGCCCGTGCCGTAGCTCAATAGGCTAATCCTCCGCCTGTGGCACCAGCACACCAGGTTCTAGTCCCAGTCGGGGTGCTGGATTCTGTCCCCGTTGCTCCTCTTCCAGTCCAGCTCTCTGCTGTGGCCAGGGAGTGCAGTGGAGGATGGCCCAAGTGCTTGGGCCGTACACCCCATGGGAGACCAGGAGAAGCACCTGGCTCCTGGCTTCGGATCAGCGCGGTGCGCTGGCCGTAGCGGCCATTTGGGGAGTGAACCAACAGCAAAGGAAGACCTTTCTCTCTGTCTCTCTCTCTCACTGTCCACTCTGCCTATCAAAAAAAAAGAAAGAAAGAAAGAACTCCTTGAGACACCCCCTCCCCCGACACACACGCTGCAAGAGGGACAACACGGGGCCAGAGTCTCTTTAAAAACAGACACTCCAGGGAGAGGCAAGATGGCGGAATAGGAAGGGAGCACACTGATAGTCTGGGGAGAGATAGTTTAATAAAAGTGGAGATACTGCAGGTTCAAGGAAGAGTAGGGGAGGAAACAGCAGAAGAAACTCTTCCAGAACGCGTGATTCACAGCGGACCTGTGTGGAGAGCGTGGGAGCCCACAGTTCGGGACACCAGCGGCAGACTCAACACACCAGCGCTGGAACGCAAGGTGAGCCGAACCTCAATAGCCCGAGACACCGGCAGGCAAGCAGAGAGAGGAGACTAGAGGGAACGACCCCCGGGGGGAAAAGTTCACCAGGCTAACTGGAAGAGAGAGAGAGAGAGAAAAAAAAAAAGGTGACTGGTACGGACACGGGTTTCTCTCTCTCTGCTCACCTCTCAAGGGTGAGCAAGACAAAGAGCAGGCGCCATCTTGGACATACGTCATAAGCAGAGCGACCTCAGGTCTGCACCGGCCCTGAGCCTAGCAGAAAACCCTGACTCTGGGCGGGGCGAATTAACAGGAGATTAGGACCTAGTAAATTTGTGGTGCTACTGAACTGAGACTGTGAAAAAAGAGACGGTGGGGGAGAGAACTCACGGAATTCACCTGAGTACTCTCCAGAGATGCTACAATTCCGTAACTTTGGCAACCCAGTGGGAGACTGAAGGAGAATTTGAACCCACTCTGAGGGCCAAACAGATTCCCTGTGTGGTCCTTGGGAAAGAGCTTCCGATCTCTGGCTCCTGTGGGAATATCATTTGCCTGCTAACTACCTCCAACTTCGTTCAGCTGTGCGGAATTACTTCCCTTTTGAATCAAAAAAAGAAAGAGAGAGAAAGAGAGATTTACCACTCCTAACCTGGGAGTGTCACCTTTGGGACACCAAACAGAGCTCTCAGGCCACACCCATCTCAAGCCCTAAGGCTCCATCAAAAACAGATAGTCCACTTAATCTAGAGTCATAGTATAACAAGAAAAAGCACCACAGTGAAGAAACCAAATATCTCCAATATGCCAAATAACAAATGCAAAAACCGAGGTAATAAAAACAAGGAAGTCACCATGACGCCCTCAAATGAAAAAGACACCCCAATTCAAGATTATGAAGATGATGACATAGAAGAAATGCAAGAAGCAGATCTCAAAAAATTGATAAGAACATTAAGAAGTTCTCAAAAACAAATTCTTGAACTACATAAAGCCTTAATGGACAAGATAGAAAATCTCTCTCGTGAAAATGAAATATTAAGGAGGAATCAAAATGAAATGAAACAATTAGTACAACAGGAAACTGTGATAGTGACTGAAGTGAAGAATTCAATAGATCAAATGAAAAACACAATAGAGAACCTTACAAACAGAATGGGTGAAGCAGAAGAGAGAATATCGGACTTAGAAGAGAGAGAACAGGAAAGGATACAGTCAGACCAAAGAAAAGAAGAGGAAATTAGAAATCTAAAACATATTGTCAGGAATCTTCAGGATACTATTAAAAAACCCAACATTCGGGTTCTAGGAGTTCCTGAAGGCATGGAGAGGGAGAAAGGATTAGAAGGCCTTTTTAGTGAGATATTA